TTTCAACGTGCACTTTGCGATCGAAGCGAAGTCTTTTGCAAATTCAATCATGACGGAACTTCCTCGATATCGTTAACGCGATGCGCGTTGCATAAACAAATTATCGCTTATGATCAAATGATCGCTTAATCTCTACGATTTATCTCTACGGGGCTGATCTCACCGCCGCCGCGCCGCTACTTTTTGTTCGCTATTTTTACAGAGAATTCATCCAGCAAAATTATCGCACTTATTGTATCAGACGACGATCACTTATATCGATTACCATTTTTGATCGCGAATAAACGCGCAAATAATATAATTACAACGAACATGTAAAATTAGATGGAATTCAATTATCCGACAGCGTTAACTCTTTAAAGAAGACGGATGAGGAGGATCTACAAGCGTACCGGGAGCCGCATATTTCAGTATATTGCAACTTTACGATTCGAAGAAAAAAAAAACATAAAGAGGGAAAAGAAGAAATAAACGCGCGCGCGCCCGAGCGCGGCGAGTGAAAAAACTGACGTCCGCGTCCGAAATAAATCGCCCGTGCTTTTTCTTACGACCGCCTCCGTCAGATCCTCTTACGCTCAATCTTAATCGGCTTCGCGACTTGCATCTCGTTACCCCGACGACCCACGACGTTTAGGGACGATTAGGGCGCAGAGCGAGCATGCGACACGATTAAAAAAAAAAGAAAAAAAAGACACATCGCGTAGCGACCTGTCACGCAAGTCAGGGGATTGGAACCGGTATATCCTCGGTGATTGCAGACTCCGACGGGCAAAAGACGCGCGCGGGAGTGATCTCTTATTCGCATCGATCGAAATGTCACAACTGGGTCGCGGCAAAGTGAGGCAAAGCTGCGATTCCGGATGACGTAATCGTATACAGTGTTCAATCACACGGCGATTTCAATATCCTGCTCTGTGGATTAATTGAAGAAATTGTCTTAATACAAAGATGTCGGGATCGCAATCACTTTCATATTACGTAGCAACATTCTGTGAACGGTAAAATCTTGAGTTATAGACAACGAAGATAATCCAAAATAGCAATGCGCACTTAACCTCATACATAAATATCTTCCCTCCACTTCTTGTGTAAATTATCCGAAACACGCACGATCCAAATAAAATGAAAATGGACAGTTAATTCCGCAAATGGCATGTAAAAAAGTACATAAATCACTCACCTATCGTTGCTACGTCAATGTCGGATGCTTTGTAGACCTCCTGCTTCTCTCTCGTCTCCTCCTCCTCCTCCACGCTGTTGTTCCTATTTGGCACTCGCACATTCACTCGCGGAACCACGACTCACTACGCGCGCGAACGAATTTTCAGAATACGACGATTACGCGATATTTACTTGGCACTCTCACACGTCAATCACACGCGCGATACGCACTTTACGGGGACGAAAGAATAATGCGAAAAGGTGCGAGCGGACAAATTACGATGCGCTCAGGACGTCTCGCAATATGACGTAATTCGCAATCGCAGCCAACTTCACGTTCACGTGCTCATCCGCGACAATGTTACCTTCGTTCGATCCTCAGTACTTCAGCGTCGTACTTACTTTGCGCGAATCTTTCGCGCTTTGAATAACAAATCGCAACACGTCCGCAATACATTTCGAGCATTTCGAATGAAATTCATGTGTTATTATTTCACGTACGAGCGATATATCGCGGCTTTCCATTATCCAAATTACGCCACACGTCCTCGATTCAAGAACAATTACGTTTAAAAACGACGAGATAATCATTCACCCGTGAATATCGCGCGGGTTAAATGATTTGTACAATTTATAATTCCTCCCTGTTTTGGAATTTTATCTCGAACAAATTGAATTGCGCGAAATGTACGCGCAGTTGATAAATAGCCGTCGCTTCGATACGTTTTACGAGACACTAATTGCATTGTAATTAATTAATTGCGCGCGTTAAGAATTGTTCATTGTACGCGGGAAATGCTGTACGTGAGGGTTTCTCTCAATACCTGCCGCGACCGCGTTTCGAGACGTAAGCAATAATGCTACGATCCGGAGCGACTCGAGCCTCGCCGGGCGGATGATGATACCTCACGTGAACGCAACAATGTGCCGTATGTAATATGTTGCATGCTGTTGCATGTCGAAGAATGAGCGCCGTCAATTATCGCTATGAAATTTCTAATGCATGATAAAATAACTGTGTACATTGAATATTCTGTTATGATAAAATAACTGATGAATATTCTGTCCCCCGTGTTTCAAATTATAATAATTGTTAAAAACAATACAAACTAAAGCGATCGATGTGTCATGAATATCACTCTTAAATTGTTCTCCCCGGCGATTCGTGTATCACTTCCCGCCGTACTCGAATCCAAGGATCCGTTTAAGGAATATAGCTGTCGTTGCGCGTAAATATCACGGTGAACTAATAACTCGTAATTGCCTGTTGCTCGTACTTTAAGCGAATGAATCGCGCGGAACACCTGCGTCGATAAACAACCGTCACCGCGATACGCTCGCAAGTCTTCAATCTCAAGAGAGTTACCCGTTCGAGCAAATGATCGCTAATTGTAATAATCATAGAGAATAATTGCATCCTCTGATAAGCATTTGTCGCGATCACGTCTTGAAAATTAATGCCGACAATATAGCAAGCGGCACGCGATTTATACCGACTCGAATCTCGATGTGTAAATGATAAGTTACGCAATATTGTTTACGTAGCGGCACGCCGTATGCGTAGAGAACAAACACCACGTGCTGGAAACCGTGGACTGATTAACTTTTCAAAATATTCTATGTTATAACATATATACTCGTCTAATTTCTCTTCTTTTTATGTTTCAAATTTATTTCATTGAGTGGACTATTATTACATGCTCTAGCTTTGTTTCGAATGACGTTGTTTAGATTAATAGTTAATTTCGTTGGATGAATGAAAGCCTTTTGGAAGCTTAATACATGCTTTATGCATGTTATCCGAATGTTAATTCGACGAATGTATTCAATGAATATATAAACATATGCAGACATGTACTACTAATGGCAAATTTAATCGCAATTTGTTACAGTAAATTATTTATCCTTTTTCACCCTAAAAGTTTAAATAGTTGTTTAATTATTTGATTTAAAACCAAAACGATTGAATTAAATACTTATATATATATTTTTGAAAAAAAGAGATTTATTTTTATTTTCGAAA